CTGATGGCTCATACCCCTTTAGCTTTCTTTTCCTTTCCTGGGTCAATTTTTATTTGTGTAAAAAAACAACCCTCATTCTGGATCCCAGATCACAGTTTGCCGGCGCTTGCGAGCTTGCTTCCCTTCTTTCCCGCCACAAACAATTTGCACAAATTTCCCGACCCTATGCAACCTTGAGGAACACCATCAAGGTATGAAACAAATTCCCGATCAGACCTTATAAACGCTATCTCAGCCCAAGAAATCGAAGAGACTTCTTCTGGACTAAGCCCCCGCCTGATCCTCTCGGCTTAAATGCCAGTTGAAAACTGCTTATCGTCAGTAGACTTGCGACCAACTACGTTACATCTACGCTTGATTAGTTATGTGGAAATTTCGCTGAGTACCTTGTTAGAGAGGGTGGTGTTAAATTCTGACAACAGTGTCCTCAGCCTCACATCTTCTTGGTTTAGTCTATCTGTCGCGTTTATCAACTGTTTGAAAGCAAAATGCGAAAAATCCATCATTGTTTTTGAACATGTTTTGGCAAGTCGTCATGTTTTAGATGGGGTACAGCTATATTTCACCCATCCCATTTTCACGGTGACATTTTTCCGAGATCATTAGGCCTGACTTTTAGAATGCCTATTCATGCAGCAGAAAGGTTTATCCAGCTTTGATTATTTGCTGATGCTGAAATGTCGCTTTGGACAGAAAGGGAAAGTAAGGAGTCTCTGGTATGGTTCAGTATAAAAACCGACCACTCTCCAAAGTACAAATACTCGTTAAAACCGCTTGGTCCAATAGGGCCCTGGAGCTTACTCAGGTTCTCTATCTGAAAGATACACGGTCGTAGGTACATCATCACACAACTCCGTGCGAAACCCTAAATGGCGACTTCCCAAGTGTATTCTTGATAGTATGATCCTCGTTTAGTGACCTAGACAACCATCACGAGAAAAACAAGGAAGAACAGAAAACAAAATTTTCTCATGATGCTTTGCATTTCCTTTCAGTCAAACTTTGACTCTTTATCGTGATCAATGTCAGGGTTTGAGCTCGGAAAACGGCTGGTTTACTGTACCCTATAGTTTTGTATTCCAGACAGCCAAGGACCTGGTCTTTTCCAAAAACTATCATTCTTCTGTAGCAGTATTAAGCAAGAGAATATGCAATACTTGAACAGGTAATCACTGTCAATAAAAGATGTCCCTCTAGTCTCCACAGCGGCAAGAGCAAATATCATCTTAAACTTTTTCTCATTTTCGCACCCGAAATAGATCGACTGTGATTTTGCTGCGCTTTCTTTAAAGTTTAACTGGAGGTGATTAAAGAACTGTAGCTCCAAATGATACCTTCAAGGATAAAGTGATGTTGATAGCGTCAAGCAGATTCCTGATGTTGGCATCTTCTTGATAAAGTCTTCTTGTAGTGCTGTTAAGCTTTTGAAAGACAAAAACGACACGGAAAATCCTGGCTAGACCAACGTGACATTTTTATCATCGATTGGCTTTTCAAAATTACTAATGCCGTTCTGTTAGTAAGCATACATGGATTGGAATGAATTTCCTCCCCATTCTACGAAAGTTGACTGCTATAAATGATGGCTTTTTAAATGATGGGTGAATGTAAGGAGCCCCTCACTTGAGCTTTACAGAGTGTTACTTGAGTAAATAACATTCAGACGAAGTAAAAAGGGTGCACTCACTTTTACATTCGTCTCAGACATCGCCAAAGCCAACTTGTTTTCTGTCCCATTTAAATTTTCCTCCAAGCGTTTTAGCCCAGTATTCACCTACAACAAAATTCCGAGATTAAGAAGTAGTTCACTAGGAGAAGCTTGAGACAGTTTGATTAAATTTTCTTATTCTTCTTTGGATTAAGACTCCAAATTAGACGAGAACTTCCATGTTCCCTGACCTGGAAACAAAGCCATGTCTGGAACACCTCGTCATCAGCTCAACCTAATTCCCAAAACCTCCCCTCTACCTATCCACCAAATGGGTTGGGAAGAAGTGAAACACACTCTTCTGCTTGTCGTCATCATAACTATTGCTGCCAATTTTTGTGATGATACGCGATTCCATAATTGAACTTTAATCAGAGAAAACGAGTTATACAGAAAAGAAAATTCACACCATTACTGATAAAGGGAACTTTCAGTATCATTCTTGAAATTGTTGAAGTTATATTCGGTTTGACTAGCTAAAGCGTGTACTGTTGTCATCCATGAGATAAGGCGATTTACCTATTAAGAGTCATCAACAAAATGGAAGTATTTTCGCGGTTTGCCTTAGCGAATCACGTGATTGAATGTGCCTCAACTAAAACTGGAGAATATCCAGTGATATCTGGCCCGATAAAAGAGAAAATTGCATCCACTTGGTTTGAAAATGACTCAAAATTTCAAAGATGATAGATTCTTGAAATCCATTTAGTTTAATTTAGTACGTCTTGCTTCACTTCATCTACCTGTCTGAAAGTATCCGTGCTGATTTCTTCCACTTTCTTGCGTAATATGGCAACTGAAGAGTTCAAACTCGATATGTTCTCTTGCAACTAGAAAAAAGAAAAAAATTGACAAATCATCAGCAATTTTTACCCTTTCATCTATGATGTTGCAATCCTGATAACTTCATACACCTATGACAACACCTATAACGGATTTTGCAACAAGTGACAAACTAATTAGCAAGATAAGTTATCATGTGAATCTTACTCGATGATTACCTCAAAGCAAACCTACCTTATTTCGTGTGTTTTCAAGTGTCTTGTTAAGCTTTTCAACGTTGTCTAGTGACGTCTCCAGGATTGATGATAACTGGGTCGTCTTAAAGGTCAGACTATCACTCTAAAGAATAACATAATCAGAAAAAGAATATTATCATTTACACCTATTGATAAGTGAGACCTTGCATGCAGATGAAGAGGGAAGAAAGCAACCACTCTGAAAAGTAAATCTTTCTCCTGACCTTTTCCACGAGAGATGAATTAACTATCGACAAAGATTTGTGCAACTTTGCGTTTGTATCTTGCAGGTTACTTCTTGTAGAGTTTAACTCGGCACCGAAGTCTTCTTCAAGTTTTGGCAAGAGCATACGAATCTCCCTCAGTTCTTGGTTTTTCTCTTCCTGTACATGAAAAACAAATACGATATAAAAGAGTTACATCATAATCTTGAAAACTAGAGATTGCAACCCCAAGGATGAACACTCAAATGCATAATTTGAGTTATTATGTACATTCTCGTTTAACGACTCTGTCTCTCTATGCCCCTTTTTGCTGACTATTATGACAAAAAGGGGTAAAAAATTTTCTCCCAAAAGACCAAACCTAGGATGGTACAATCTAACTAACTGAACCTGTATACATTCCTTTTCCTAAAATAAGAAAAAAAGTTTGTCTCTTGGAATGAATCTCGACAGCTGCCTACTTGAATATAATTTCGAATAAAAAATTGTCACTTACATCTGCATACTTATTTAATTATTGTTTTTTTGTTAAGTTTCCTTACCATTTTACATTTACTTACCAAACGTATTTGAAGACTTGTAACATTCTCCTCCAACCCCTTGATCCTGGCTAATATCTCAGTGCTTGAGGCTTTAGCCAAACTGCGAGTGTCAGGGGAATCTCCTGGAGAAAGGAGGAATAAATGCCACTTAGTAACCAAGTTCGAAGTCTGTATTGAAGTTTTTCCACTCGTTTATCTCCAAAGCGCGAAGGCCATAAATCCGAGCAGAAAAAACGACCTTTGGTAACTTACAATACAGACCGAGAAAACGAAGTTGAATAGATACTTATCATAACGATTTTAGAATCCTTTCGACGCCCTCTCAAAACCCGCTTACCTAGGAATTACTCATTGTCTCCAAAATCATAGATAATTAATTATTTTTTAAAGGTAGCTGACTATTGGTCAGCTTACGAAAAATAATCAATTAATTTCTTTGTATCTATGGATTGCAAAGTATATCACATTCTCTTACCCTAAGGTCTGTACTTGCTATCCCTGAAGATAACTCGTCTTTCGTTGAGTTCACTGTTTTCTCTAAGTTTGTAAGACCGTTATTCACCTGCCGGATGAAAGCTTTATTTAGTATGATCAGATTTAAATTTTAATTTAGGTTTTTTTTGCCACCCATCTATCATGAAGTGTTTTCAAACTAAGATGTTTTACGTCCATTTGAACAAGTGAACACTATATTAGCGCCCATGCCATATATAATTCATAATTCAAATCATTTTTTTTTAGCGCTTATTGAATCATTACAACACCTTTCCTTTAATTTGCTTGGAATTAAGTTAACAAGGAAGAATAAGAAACCCAAGACAACTTTAGACTCTTTTTTTTTAACAAATCGTTAGTCCATCATGATGTTATCTTCGCTGTCTTTATTGATAACTGGAGATCGATAACGTTTCTACTATACAAGCAGCTATCATCATTTCTACCTCAAGTGCTCTTCTTGATCTCTGTTATGATTTCGCATTGTAGTCAGTTTCTTCATCGCTACCACCATCATCTACAACTAGAACCTGATACATTGGCACAAATTATTAAGTAAATATAGGTAAGCTTACCGATGCAATAGAATTTTCAGTGTTGATCTTGAAACTGTTGAAGCTTTCTTCTGTTTCATTAGACTGAGCGTGGACTGCAGTGATGGATTGGCTAAGGCGGCTGACCTAATAATAATAATAATAATGATGAAATCGTAAAGATGAAAATAAACAATTTTAAAAATCGAGTTTCCAGATGGGATTTGAACTCACGACCCTCCGTGATCCAGTCGGATGCTCTAACCCTTGAGCTACAGGAGACTCTATCGTGCGTAAGGGTCAATTAGTGGGTATTGAATGGAACCGCATCACGCGGCTACACAGCCAAACATCAGCTAGCGCATAGAAGCTCACTAACACCATCACGCTGTCACAATAAAGCATCACAGGCATTAAAGCATCACATGCAGCCAACCAGCCTCCAAAGTGAGCATGTAAAGACGAAAATAAACAAAAAAACTCGATTTTTAAAAGTGATGAAATCAAGATTTGAAATTTTCTTTTGGCTAGTGCATACACTGTTTTAGGTCCAAACATTCGAGGTGTTATTTATTTAATTTAGTTTCTTAACATAAGCTA